TGTAGGGGACAGGGAGCCAGTGTAAAGAGGCTAAAATTGGGGTTATATGCTCTCTCCGTTTGGTACCGGTTAGCAGGCGAGCAGCAGCATTTTGAATCATCTGAAGGCGATGGATGGTGGCATGATCTAGGCCATAATACAATGAATTGCAGTAGTCCAATCTGCAAGTAAGAAAAAGGTGGATGATATGCTCGTTGTGCCAGAAAATTTTTTTTGTGCTGTGATACATCAAGAGCCAGTACAGTGACGATATCTCCCCTCCTAAACTGCAAGAAGTGGAGGAAAGTTTCACAAGTTTTATAAAAACTGCCCCCAGGTGCCCAGAGCACTGTGGAAGTTGATTTAAAAAAAAAAAAAAACCAGCCAGGAGGGAGCAACAGGTCCCTTCAAAATTGAAGCAACCTGCACAGGTGCTTCACTGTGGAGTGCTTCACACCACGATGGCAACAAGGACAACAAGGAATAGCTATAAGATATGTCATCTTATGTTTCTGTACACTATGCCGGCCACTTGGTTATGGCGTTCTATGTATGCCCTGCCTGCTAGCATCTTGCACCCTGCTGTTATGTGCTGGATTGTCTCAGGAGCATCTTTACACAGCCTGCACCTGGGGTCTGGCCAGGTGTGATAGGAACAAGCTCTGAGCACAAGCTCCATAGAGGCTGGGGTCTGTGCTGCCATGATTAGTGCCTCTGTGCTGTCTTTCTATCCAGCTTTGTCCAGCCACTGGTAGGATTTCTGTCAGCCACCTCCTCTATTTGCTGGTGTTACATACCGTGCAGGGGCCTGTCCTTCCATGATGGTTCCTCCTCTTCTTCCTCATTCTTGGGTTTCTGCTGCCTGAGGTATTCACTGAGCACGTAGTCAGTTGGGGCCATCTTCATGATGTATTCGTGGATGTTCGTTGTCTCATCCTGGACCATGGTGCTGACACTCACCAGTCCCTGGCCTCCTTCCTTCCGCTTAGCGTACAGCCTCAGGGTGCTGGACTTGTAGCCAGTCTTGTCAATGATCTCACTGAGGGGGTTCAGGCCTATGCAGAACAGCAGTGGGGACAGAGCATCTCCTTGGTAGATCGCGCACTTGATGGTGACTTGTGCTATGGTCTTGAAGTTGGCCTCCAGTTTGTCCGCCACATCCCCATTGAGTTCCTGATGAAGGCTCTTTTCGTCAACTAGTAGCTGGTTCATTTGTGCCGCTCAGCGCTCATGGAATACAGTCAGCTTCTTCAGCCAGTAGGCGCAAATCATGTGGGTGCCTGGTGCTGTCCAACTCTTCATACTGGAGAACCGTTCTTAGATATCTGCCACTGTGATGGTTACTGGACCCTGTTCAGGGAGGTCGCTGTGGTCTGCCCTCAGATCCACTAGCCACTGAGCATTGCCGTTATGGGTTGCATCCTTCTCCCATATGCTCTTCCAGTATTGTTCCATCTCCAGCCTTGGTGGTGCTGTTCTCATATTGTTACCCTGCCACTGAGAGTATACTTTGGATGGCTCTTTGGAAAACAGATGGTTTATTCTACTGCCTTCGACCTCTCTGGTGTACCTCTTCAAGCGGCTGGCCAAGGCTGTGAGTCGTTGCTTGGCAGTTTCCAAGGCCTCAGGTATGGACAGCTTCCTGTACTTCTTAGGCACCTTCTTTGTCACACCTTTCTGCAGCGCTGATATTTGGATAACCTCCACCGTGCTACTTTGATCCTAGCCTCTAGTCTCCATCTCCATGGAGGGTACTGCTTCTTGTGGCTGTTTAACTTGTAGCCAAGCATCTCAGTGATATATGCTGCGAGATATATCTCTATATCTATATATATCTATATATATATATATCTATATATATCTATATCTATATCTATATCTATATCTATATATATATATATATCTATATATATATATCTATATAGATATATATAAATAAATAAATAAATAAATAAATAATACACACACACACACACAGTGGTTCCTCGTTTATCACTGTAGTTACGTTCTAAAAATAACCCTCGATGGGTCGAATCCACGAAGTCCACTGTTAGAGAATGAAACCAAAAAGGCACCCACGGCTGCCTTTGATGGTGCAAACGTTTCATCGACACTGTTGTGTTTGTTGGGGAGAAAATTTACAAACATGGGCACGTGTTGAAG